TCCACTCTCTCTCAACAAGGATCCAATTGGAAAGCCTGTAAACGTAACTGTTTATAGAGGAATGACCGGCTCTCTGTTGTATCTCACAGCTAGTCGACCAGATATCATGTATTCTACTTGCTTATGTGCATGATGTAACAACTCGTCCCACATTGATAAAATGTGAGAATTGTTAGTTCCTTATAAGTCTCAAGTAGTGGGCTACCAATAACTTCCACCAAGGTTTTAAGTTGGATTTGAAGTTATTGGGCTAGTTCGTTTCTTTGGGATTTGAGGTGTTACAAATGGTATCAGAGCCGATTCTTGTACCATCGGGATGGTGGGGCAAACCTCATCGGGTATGATGAGTCCTCGAGAGGGGGTGTTTGTAACATCTTAGGCAAATCCCACATTGCCGATGACAAGGAGGAAGATTATGGATAAACCTGACGAGGACGCCAAAAGTTTAAGAGGGGGAGTTTGTAACAACTCGTCCCACATGGATAGAAAAAGTGAGAATTGTTAGCTCCTTATAAGTCCCAAGTAGTGGTCTACTAATAACTTCCACTATGGTTTTAAGTTGGATTCGAAGTTATTGGGCTAGTTCGTTGTTTTGGGCTTTTGGGTGTTACAAGTTGTAAAACCCAAAAATTTCGACAAATAAATAATTTATCTTTATTATTATTTTTATTTTATTTTTTATAAAATACACACACACACGTACTTATATATATATATAAGTTAAATAAAAATAGAAATTAAAATAAGTTTAAAAATCGGACCAAAAGTGAAAGAAAAAATCAAGACATGGGGGAAAGTTGTAAATTCGCGATAGTTAAGGGGTTGGGTCAGATGTAAACAGGTCCAAATCAGAAGGACCTGTTTTGTAAATATGCATCAGACCTGCATATTCAGAAATACGAAAACGACCTCTCCTTTGAAGCTCTCTATTGGTCTGAATATTCAACTATTACGACAAAAAAATTCAATATACATGTAGACGACACTTTGCTCTACATTTTTCCTTCAAGAAAACCAAACTTTCGTTGAGAGTCGAAGGAGAAATCGGAGGGTGAAGTTCGGGTTCGAAAAGCTCCGTTTATTAACGATTGGAGGTAAAATACTCAACCAAATTTCGAGTTCTTTATATGGATGGCTTCGTTTTTAGATCCTCTATAAAACCTTAGTAGCCTTATGTCTCAGATTTTAGCTTTGAATGTTCGGTTTTGAGTTTTTTACTAATTTTCGAGTGGTTTTAAAACCGAAACTTTAAATGAGTAAATGGAACTCATTTCTTAATGAAATTCGTGTTCTTTATGTCAAAGTGTTGGTAAAAATATTACCAAGAGTTTGGTGCAAAAAGAATGAGGAAAAACTGTCAAAAAACGAGTCAAATCGAAACTTGAACTTGTGAAAACACGCAGCCATGGCTGCTGGCCGTTCTGGGCCGCTTAAATCTGTTGTTTCGACCCATAAAAATAAATAAATATATGTATATGCTTAGTAAGGGGGTCGAACCCATGACCCCAACACACAAAAAGATGTTCCAACCACCAGCTCCAATAAATCCTTGTGTTTTAAAGTTCGCTATAAAACATTTATGTCGGCTTATTTGTTCTTATTTAAAAAAAAAAAGAATTTTTGTATAGCCATTAAAGTTTCAAATATTTCCACACTATAACTTTATGAAATTTTTGACAAGTTTTACTTGGGTTTACAAAATGAAGTTTTTACCCAACTTTGATAAAATAAGAATTTATGAAATTTCCAAAATACTTTTAGAGTTAGATAAGTGTTTTTTTAGCGTTATGAAAATATACTAAATTAATCATACACTTGGTTTTGATACTTGATTAATTATTCTTATATGGATGCTTATAATAAATCATTTATTTAGATGATAAATAAATAAAATATAAAGTGTCGTAATAAGGAGAGTTATTATCGAACACTTTGGTTTTAGAGGATTCATATAAATTATATATATGTTTCCTAGGGAGGGGTGTCTAMGTTAAATGTTTTAATTATTTAGATGATTTTTAATAATAGGATTTAAAGTGTTGTCTTTGAGTTTAATACTATCAAGACGCTTTGAATTTAGAGAGATGGATTTATAAGATCATAAAACGTTTATTTTGACGTTCTAGGAGGTCATCGAGTTTTGGACTTCGGGTTTGACTAAAGTTAGTCGGGATTAACCGAGTGACTCAAGGGTTGAGTTTTGTTAGTCTGACCCACGCGGATTTTAATAATATGGTCAAATTGAGTTATTTGAGGCATATTAGGATTCTCGGATGTGGAGTTTGACTTCAGGTCGGGCCGGATTGACCATAGTTGAGTTTTATTGACTTTTTGGAGAGACCAAGTCACTCATTAGACATTGTGATATGAAATGTGTAGGTCTTCCGTCAGAAGCTATCGGTAGTCGACCTACGCAATCAGGTGAGTCTTCATGAGATTTCACTGGGATGCATACCTAAGTATAAATTATTTTTGCATGATATGAATTGTTGATGATGTGTACGTATACATGATATTTCAATTACATACATGTTATAATATATTTTACATGTATGTTATTTTTATGAATGGGTGCATGCTATGTGTTTAATCAGTTTTTGAATAACTCTAGCATGCTATTCCATATTAAAGTTTTATGATTCAAGGGTGGGCATTGACCAGTAAGTCACGACCAATATAAAACACGACCCGGACAAGTGGGTGATGAATTAAGACTGATATATCAACCTAGGGCGTGTTTGTGACTAAATGACTCATATCCGACTAAACATTATATGAGATCTCTTATTTTTAGTGTTTTAAATTATTATTTTTAAAGCTGAGACTTTTATTATAAAGTATGCATATATGCCAGATATATATATGTCAAGATATGATTTTATTCACGCAAACCATGAACTCACTGAGCTTTATAAGSTGACTATAGTATGCATCTCAGGGCCAGGTAGTTCGAGGTTGGATAAGGGCAAAGGACACGCTTAGAGAGTTGCTAATTATCATCTTATTTTTAGTCTTTTGTCTAGCAGTGTTGTGTCGATCTTTTGTAACTTAACCTGGTATGAGGTGGGTTAGAACTTAAGTTAATTTTTGGGCGATTCAAAGATTTCCGCTGTAAACGGTTCAAACGGTTTTATTTTAGCCGTCTTTTGGAGTATTTATTTTGGAATATGTTTCAGATTACGTAAAATTTTCAAAAAAAAAAAAAAATAAGGGTGTTACAAGTTGGTATCAGAGCTTTAGTTTAAGGTAATTAGGTTAAGATTTACTTAGCCTAAGCTTAAACTGAGAGGATTGTTAGAAGCACATGTTATTGTGCATTAGTATTGCTTATCATGCGATTAAATTTGATCCTACATTATTACTTGACATAGTGTTCCTTTTATGACTTGTAGGAGACATGGTTCACACCATTCACACTAGCTCTATCAAACGCGGACGTGGACGCAGATACGGAACACGTAGGACACCTTACGGGCTAGGACCGAATAGAGGATCTATTGACAGTCACCGCTCCAGTGCCAGACATGTTTCCGACACCCGGTCCAAAAGCGATAGTCTGGCCCACACTAGTGAAGTGTCATCACGAGAGCCCATCAGGCGAAGGACCACACCCGAGCCTTCGGAGGACTACACGCCCCGCACCCCTACACGTGAGGACATGATGGAGACTATAGAGACCTTGTGGGGTGAGAACATAAATCTAAGAGAGAGGTTGACCCGAACTTTAGATGGGAATACTAGACTGAATGAATGGCTGAACAATCTTCAGCAGACACATGTCGAACAAGGAGGAGCCCTAAACGAGCTAATTGTAGAGAACGCAAATTTGTCGGAACAGCGTCATGCACTGATTTGGGATAAAGTTGTACTTGAGCAGGAGCGAAGAATTGATGCTCGGCCCGTAGGCGCTAGATTTAGAGACATAGTTCACTTCTATAAGAAAATGACCATAGACTATGCTGGTGTAGTGAGGGGCTATTTCTCCGACTGGGTCCAATGCATCAAAAATGGCCCAAAGACTAGTGTGTTGTGGCATTCCAGGCCATCCACATCTTTTGAGGAGTGGTTGAGGGACCCTTATCTCCCTTATTACCCCGCAGATCAGTTTTAGACATAGAATCCTTTTGAGAGAGGGGAGAGAGAAAGATCTTTTAGGTATGTGATTTAATTGTGCGTGTCTAGATAGTTGATCGAATTTTCATCTAGTCCAGTGCTTCAATAGATTTTTTTGAGCATTCACATGATTTAGAGATGTGTTTAGAATTATGAAGTATCCCATCTTTTGTATGTAATTGGGATTATGTAATGTCTCTCTCTCCATGATTGTTTATTGACACGAAATATATATAGC